TCTAACTGTTATAGCAGCTGAATAAGCACAGATTCATTAAAAAATCACTGCAAGAAAGAACACTGGGAGGCCATTTAGTCCATCCCTTGTCTCAAAGAAGGTTTGACATAGTTTTTTACACCATGACAGGGTGACTTTCCTTTAAAACTTTAACTTTTCTCTCAGTAGATCTTTCAGATAACTATACTGAAGATCTACATCTTCCTTTAATGGCAGGTGGCATATACTGGACAGTGTATGTTTGTTCTTTCTGTACATGTGTGTGCGTATATATATGTGTGTGTGTGTGTGTGTCTTTGTGTCTGTGTCTGTGTATGTACTGGCAGGGATGCTGAAGGTAGGTTCACTAATGATAGACTGCTGGTTATCTGATTTTGAGTCATTGAGTTACAAGGGAGACCGTGGTGCAAAACAAACTGCTAGAGGCGGAGTCTAGTTCCAGATTTTACATCCTTACTGCTCATTGCTGGAAACTCAAAGGCCATACCAGGGAAAGAGTCACTCTATACCTGCCTGGTTCCTCATGTTTCTTGCTTAAAAATGCAATGCTAACCACTATCAGAAAACGAACACAGAGCTAGATGGGGCTTTGGTCTGACAAAAGACCATAATTCTTATGCTTATAATTATTATCCTCATCCTCGTGATTATTATGCAGTGCCTAATGGCTAATCAAGAATGATACCTAGGCAATGTACAAGCAGAGAATAATGTCTCTTTCCCAAAGCAGCTTATGCTGGTGAAATATGACTGCTGTAGCAGCACACAATTGCATTAAAAATATCATTGCATTAAAACACTGCAAAGCTTTCCCTCTATATAGCCTAACTAGTGCACCACAGAAGGCACTTTACTCTGTAATCACTGCAGTATGGTACTAATGATCTTGTTGGGCTTTGTGTACTTTATTGCATAGTTTGTGTACTTGGGCACTTGAATGTTTTCTAGCTGTGCCAGGGGTATTTGCATTCTGATTGCTTAACAAAACAATGCTGCACATTTAAGGAAAGTAGAAGTGCAAATACAATGCATGGCAACAATTATAATATCCTTGGTGCCTACAAATCCCTATGCATGCAATGTCCTGCATTCAGATGTGAATGAACTAGACAATGTGAAGCTAAAGGCATCAGTTGGTGCATAAATTATTTACAAGTATTTACCAAAATTTTTCAAGCAGTTCGAGAAGTTAAGGGGATAAGGTTTTGTCTGTTAAAAAAAAGGAATTGTGGTTAATACACTGGATTGAGACTTGGTCCACATGGATTCAACTCAGGCACTTTGCTGGATTTCCTATCAGAGACCCTGGGCAATAACTTGGGCTTTGAATCCTAAAGGGGCTTAGTGACATATCCCATATCGCTTTAGATGCAGGCGTCTTTCAGCATCTGGCCCTGAGACTTCTCAGTGAAGAAAATGATACTTTCACAATTCATAAAGATGCTGTGAGGAGAGCTTAGTTCCTTAAAAACTAACAGACACTTAGATGATGGAACCTAAAGGCAAGTCACAAAATAGTCGTTTCCCAAATTAATAAGTTTTCTTTTCATTGGGATGCAAGATCTCCATATGCACGTCCCCAGTCTTTAAACCCAGTGGACTTCATATCAGATGGGATGGCCCTAATGACAAATGATGGACTATGTAAATGACATAATCTAGTAGATTATAAGTGCCAGACAGGCAGCTTCCAGCCAGCAAGATGCTCTCCTGCTTGCCATGTTTTCCTCCTTCTCTGCCTTTTCCCTGCTTTTTCCCTGTCACTGTACACCTCACTTTTTCCCAGTGATCACATCTTCCTAGTGTGGGGAGGGGAAAAAATTAAAGGTCTCAGGCAGAGTGTCTGTCTCTCTTGCTTTGATGATCCTCATTAAAACCTTCAGGGAGCAAGCTGAAGAGTGGAAAACATAGATGTCCCAAGGCCACCATGGGTATGAACAAACGTGACCACTCCCACTCCTTGCTTAGGACTCTTGGTTTTAAAATATGGGAGGCATAAACTACAGCAGGATGGGGAAATAGTTACACAGTTTATTGACATGAGGAATGCATCCTATGTGAGGCAGCTGAGAGCAGTAGAGGTATTTGTGCCAGATCTAAACCCATTTCAGTAGTTGTGAGCTAACTCAATGAAGGGCTTAATTTTATAAATAGTCTGTAGTGTTTTAAATAATCAAATATCTGTAACTCTGTTGTTCAATCTATTTCTGTAGGTAGTAATCAGTCCAATAAGATCCAGAAATGTTTTTGCAGTAAACTCCACTAATACATATATCCTGCAGTCCAGTGTGACAAGACAATGTGTATGGTCAGCAGTAATTCATTACAATGGTTAATCCATCACATGCTCTTGATATTCTGTTTATTACTGACTATTTATAGTAACTACTTTTTCCTTGATAGGGTGTATTCCATTTTAGCGAATAGATGCACAAGTGATTTTTTTTGATGGTATTTATTCAAAACAGAGATACAAATTCCCATTCCATCTGAATGAACAACAACACAACCTAAGTGTTGGAAATTTGAGGGCAAGTCTGGACTCAACATTCATAAAACTTTTGGAGAACTAGAAGATATTTTTCTGTTTTACCTCAGTATGTCCTAGGATGTGCTTAAGTGGACCAGATTTACAAATAAATCACTGGTAAATAGCAATAGGCACAAGTAGATAAGATGTCCAGAAAGAATCAAATTACAAGGGTAGGCTGTTTCCAGTTTCAGGAGTTCAAAGTTAACTTAAGCTGCTGTGTCTCAGATTTCAGTTAGCTTGGATGACTGAAAAAGCATTGCATAGCTTTGAGTTAGTTAGAAATATGGAGAAGAGGAAATTGTGCTATTCTTTATACTTTTGAATACAAACACAAAGAACTGGGTCAATGCCTCCATCGCAGAAATGCTTGTCTTATTTTGCTTATCCCTTTTTGCATGCAGTGGGCATTTTATAAAGTTGCATTCCATTATTAAGGAATTTGAACTGAAATCAAATAGCAAGGAAAAGGAAAAATAAGATTTTCAGTCCATCCAAATGTTTCTTTCATACTAATTAGTCTGATCCTAGACAAATATTTCCATATCATCAGGAAAATTAGACTGAATGAACTATTTTCATTATTTTCTTTTAAAGTCAGCTGTTCTTTAGATTAATTTCTAATAAACATTAAACAGAGAAAATAATTTTCTACCTCATTTGGATACTACTCCATCCTCCATCCAAGTCAATAGAAATCCTTTCCCTAGATTCGCTGGTGTTAGGGTAGAGCTGTTATTGTTCACTATGAAAACTGAGAACATATAAGTTCCTGATAGTGATGGTGGATACCATTTCAACTGTTCATAAACTGTATATCAAGTGGAGTATAATAGATATCAGCACATATCCCAATATTATTAAAACTTGGAAAAGTGCACAAGGAACAAAGGGAGATTTGTCTCTCTTTTTGTCTCTCACTTGCTAGTCAGTTTGGCTGGTGAATAGGCTGGGACCAGTCCTTAGGATTTTTCTACTTGTGATGACTTATGATGCTCTTGTAACCCTATCATACTGTTCAGACACAATTAGGCATGTACAAAGAGATGCTGTGATTGAAATATGTCTGCTTTCAATGTATAAAGCAATCACTTCACTGTCTAATGGATGTAAGAGATATCTAAGGGCTTCAGTGAGCCGCTAGGCTATGCCAAGGAGACACCCAAAGAACTTTTGCTGGATGGTCTTTCTCAGTTTCCAGTTGCTGTCCTCCAACTCCTTATGTTTCCCCTTAGAATGTTATGTTTCTATATTTTTCCTTATGACTCTGCTACACACTTCCTCACAGTTCTTTCTCACAACATTGAATTTCCACAACCATCTAAGCCAAAGTTTTGTACCTTGGCTGGTCGGATCTCAACATTGCACAATTCAGGTGAACTAATGGGGAGGTGGGCACCCTAGAGTTGAAAATTGCTGGATGCATAGGAAATGGAATAATTTTTTTTACCACTCCCTCTCTTCTTCCTCAGTCCTTTATCTTCCCACTCTGTCATTACACTTCTATCCACTGTCCATCCTAGGTTCGCTGATCCCCTTCCCTATATCTTAATCTCCCCCCAAAAGAAGTTCTTCGCAGGGTCCTGCATTATCCTGGGGAGTGATGTGCCAGTAGTAGATCCTGAAGCAAGGAAGCATGGTGGACATCACTCATCTCTTCTCCTCCTCACCTCTGGTGGTGGCACGGGGAAACCATTTATGCACCACAATCCCAGTTATTGTCAAATGAATGTGTTTTACAGGAGTGGAAACAGAGTCAGTTCAGGAAGTCCTGGAAGGACAAACATGGCCAGGCTGGGCCCCCAGATACCAGATCATTTGGTATTGTTCATTATAGACTTATATTTTATTGTGCAATATGCATTTACAACAGAAATGTATGGTAGCAATGCCTCCCTCACTGTATGTTCTTACAGCTGCATTCTCATTATATGTAAATCAGTGTATTCGGGTAACTCTGGTCAAGCCATACCATCTATAATGTCTGCCAATCCAACTTGTAATTTTAAAGTAATGGGGACCGTGGGGAGCATTGATCGACTAGGCTGTCCTCCAAGCTGGTGCAGAATGTACAATTTCTATGATTCTGTGATTCTATGATTTCATCCACAGGTTTCTGCAGTAAGGGGAATTACTCTTCCCTCCAAGAATGACGCTAAACACCATTCTAGTGCCCAGGATGGGAAACTAGTGCAAAAAAAAGATTGGATTTTACTCTAAATTGCACTACTGCAGACTTGGATCATTGGCAAATATCAGTGGGTGGATTGTAGGAATATCAAGACCTGAGATGTCTGGACATATGGCTGGTCAACAGCACAGTTTAGGTTTAAGGACAGAAAAATGGACAGTTTTCTGATTTCTATTTTTCTACTTTTTTTTTTCACAGTTTGAAATAGCTGTGACATGCCTGAGAAAGAAAAGTTTGTGTTAGCAAAATTGCTTTCACATTTTTAATGACTAAACTTGAAAGCAGACTCCTTCTGGTTCAGACAAACATTAATCAGTAGAAACAGGTACTTGTAAATAAATTAACTCATGCCATAGCCTCCTCTACACCTTTCTTGCTTCAAAGCTGAGAAATTACAATATACCTTAGGGAAAATTGTCTTATTTGGTGTTATAATCTAAAAAGATCCCAGGGAAGAAATAAATACAAATCAGAAGTAAAATAAATGCTTGTCTCTAATGAAAAGAAGGAGACTGCTTGATTGGTTTGTGATTCTTAGCATCTACAAAATTGAGGTCACTATTGTGAAGGGGATCAGTCAGTTTCTAATCTATGTCTTTAGTGCAGCATTACCCATTCATCAGAAATATTTAGGGAAAAGTCCAACAAAGCTCAAGGCTTGGGCAGAATTCATTATTCAGTACCCAAATTTCTCTTCATGAGATGCATATTTAGTGCAGCAGATATATATTTATCTGAAGAACTCTACTTGAATCCAAAAGCTTTTCCTTGCTAAAGCTCTGAAAGGTCTCTTGGAGGTGTCTTCTCTTCAGCAAGTCCATACATATCCCTAAGGGAATCATGAAGTATACCCTTATTTACTTTGAAAGCTATTTTTGTAAACTATCAATCCAATGCAAAGATTTACAAGCATAGCAGGTAATCTTTGCTTACTGATCCCATAAATCATGCCTGTAAAATCACTATCCCAAGCAATGTTTAATGCACAAACTACATTGCACTAATGCTACATTTAGTCCAAGGAAAAATTAATTATTTAGCCTGATGATTTTTGCTGTCTTGTTGAATTCCAAGTTGATTTATTCCTGTAGGTTTTATTTCATTCTTTCTATGATCTGAAGAACAGTGCACCATATGCACACCTTCTCTGTACAGCCCACAGATTGCTTGTGGCAGTGTGGACTCAGGGACTGGCTGTTAGGCACTGGGCTACCCCTGGATGCATAGTTGCAGGTAGTTCCTCTATGCTAGCAGTAAAATATTACATTATATGGTTGGAGGAAGTGGATGCAAGAAAGGAGGGACACTCAGAACACATTTTCACTGCCGTGTTCTGTCTGTCTGCAGCAGTACCTTTTACCGTACAGCTTTACTGTACAATGAGTCCTTGTTGCTCTTCACCTATGTGCTTACTTTTTGCCGAAAAAATATCTAGTTCTGCTAAACTATTTTAACAATCAGCATAATTATAGATTTTTAGGAAAAAACCCACAAAACTTTTGCACATGCATTTCCACTGACTTAAGAAGGGAGAATGACAGAATTGCATCACAGAGTCAGAGAAATGTTGTTTGGAAGGAACATCAGAGGGACACTTGTCTAGCCACCCCATTAGAGCTTTACTATCCCCAGCACTGAGTTATGTCAGCCATGGGTTTGTCTAACCAAATCCTGAAAACTTCCTAGTATGTCCACATCATCCATGGGCAACCTGTTACAGTGTTGCACCATACTCCCAGTGAAGTTTCTTCTGATGTCCAACCCGGCTATTGCCTCTTGTTGTGCCATTTGCCACAGCTGGGGAGTTTGCCTCTGCAATTTTGTATCTGTGCTTCAGAAAGTTGTAGACTACTATTACGTTGCTCCTTAGCCTTCTCTTTGTCAGAGTATGATGTCTCAACCTCTCTACATGGGACATGTGCTGTAGGTCTGCAAACGCATTTTCTGTTTTCTAATGTCAAGATAAATCTCAACATTTTGTTGAGAAAAATTTTGTTGGCAAAATTGCCAATAACCTGACTAAAGTAAATGTCTGAGATGAGACATAAGGGTTTAACATCGAGGCTTGTACAGTACACTGAAATATCTGAACTGGTCTATTTTATTGAGTCTATCATTCCCACATTTTAGTGAACACTTAAAATTAGATTTTCTGCTTTTCTTATAGAAAGTGGTCATGCAGCACAAAAGATTGTTGTTGAACAAAAAGCAAGCAAGAAAGTATAGCAGGTATAGAAAATGCTCAGATCAACACAAACCCCAAGCCTCTGTCCCAGCAGGACATTATGAGAAGATTTCAGTTTTATCAGCTTGTAGACAGTAACATGGAAGCCACTGGGAACATTATAGTAATTCTACAACAGTTTAATTCAGTAGACAATAAATGAAGTGTTATTTGGTTCCCTTTACAAGTGGAAGGGGAAAAACTTAAAATGGAGCTTGCTACAAAGTATGCTGTTTCTGTAATTTCACAGCAGGACAATCATAGACCACTTAAAACCACAAAGTTGTAGAAATTCTCAGAGTTTCTAAAGCATGCATCATTCGCTGGGGCTTTATGATACTGAAGGTAGTGTAAAATTGTAAACAGCATGTGCTAAGCTTCTATATTGTACAGCAAATTCTGTGTTGTATGTTGTCTTCTGTTTCAGAAAACGGCTGCGAGACATTCAGCTGTTATCAGCAAGGTATAAAATTCCTGCAGATTCCAAAAAATTATGAACCCAACCCAAAAGTTACCTGTACTCAGGACAAGGTGTTTGGGACCTTTGACATCACAAATGGAACTTTAGCACACACAAAAACCACACAGGTGCTTGAGTTTTGACTGTGAAGCTTGCACGTTCAGATTTCATATACTCCAAATTTCCGTATAACCCTGGTGAACTATCTGACTAACTCTAAGCATAAATAGATGACTTGAAACATTAATTCTGATCCAGTAATTATATAAGTATTTTACATAAAATATACTGGAAGAGATCAGGAGACTTCCACATGATATAATTTCTTATTGTGCTGAGAGAGATGTGGGTCTAATTCAGGTAAGGAACAGAACTGAATCTGGGTCTCCCCTGGGTTTCCCCCTCCCATATAACCGTTACAGGGTTAAGTAAATATGTGGCATCACTACTTCCATGCTAATATGGGTAAGTGACAAGTGGTTTTGGCAGCTAACAACCGTACTGAATACTGAATACTGAATTTGGCTTAGCATAAGGGACTGAGTGTTTCTCAGTATTTAGAAATGGCTTTTTTAGCTTGCTGGCTATTGTGAGCTTAGATGCTCAACTGAATATGAATTCTGCTAAAAGTTCAATACCACAGCTATTAGGATTGGTACATCTCCTTCATTTATTCCCTCACCAGTTTTAGAGAAAACACCTCAAGTATCCCCACTTACCCCAGAAAAAAGTCAGACACACATATTATCAGATTAACAATAGATTTATTTTCCTTCTTCAAGAGGGATCAACAGAAGACTGCTCAACAGATACCCCTAAACAGCTAGTTAAATGATACACTTCTGCTTACATTCCCTTTTTCTCCCTTTTTAACTTCTCAATTTTTTCCTTTTACCACCCTCATCCACTCCCAAATAAACAGGCTGTTCCTACTTACTTTTCCTATTGTCCCTAATTTTGCTCCTTTATACCTCTTCAGTGTTTGTGATATGTTTGCAGTGGTAATTTCTAGCTCCATCAGCAATTCCTTTAAGTTAGTGACCTCTTTTTGTTATCAATCAATTCTCATTTCTGCTACTTCTTATGTTGCTGTCTTGTTAATGTAGCCATGTCAGAATTAGATTTCTAAGCATGTGTTCCCCCCTTTCAAGCTCTTTGTAGTATCTTATTATTTCTTGTGTTATTATTTTGTTAGTGTAGCTCCATGGCAGGGCTGACCATCTGTATACTCTAACAGGTGCTAGGCTGGTGTGTGTGGTGAATCTTGTACATTTTAGATACATTCCTTACTGCAGTAGAAGATTAATCCCTAATACATGAACAGAGTTATCATCTCTCACTGTTGGTTAGCACACCAGGAATATTGCCTGATTCATAACAACTTGGAGACAGGAGATATTGCTGCACACATCATCAGGAAGTATATGGACACAAGAAGTATATATCATCCCAAGCAGCTGTGATATATTGAAATTAAGTAAAAGTTATTTTAAGTTGATTTTCCATATGAAGGTAGAGTACTAAATCATATACAGAAAATCATATTCAAAGACTCTCTGAATTTGTTTCTAAATCTCTTCCAGATTTGCCCAGATTGACAAAAAAGCTCTTAGGTTAATTTGGGGAGTTAAAAAAAAAAAATTAACCAAGAGCTGTGTTTGGTTGCAAAAAATCAGTTTCTTGTTTCTTTAAAAATATAATTAATAATAATAGAAAAATATTAGCAGCTGTCTTTGTCCCCATTGAACTGTCTCTGCTTGGGAAATTAACTTCCGCTGGATTTGGCTCCTCATCATTGTATGCTTGCATTCATTCAAGCCTTAACACTCTCTCACCCTAAAACATCTTCCCTTAACACTGGAATGCCCTTCAGAAGTCAGTCTTGATGCCTACCTCCATGATAGGACTGCACCTAACTTACATGGATCACTGGTAGAATATATATATCTCTATTATAATACATGGATATTTTCCTGTAGCAGATAACTAATGTAAATGGCTTGAATTATTCCATATGAATACAATGAATTCAGCCCAGATGGTGAATTCTTAAGACTCTTGTCTTCAAGGACAGAGAGCTTCTGAACAGATTGTTTTTGAAAATGGAAATCAATTCATTTTCAAAAGGTTTCCATTATTTGCCAAAGGAAATTATGTCAAACATGTCACGTCAGCTTTTTACTGTCCTGCCACAAAAGAGTTGCCTGAAACATCTACTCAGTCATTTCAAGCAAACTCTACCACTGGTAAAGCTCTCCTCGAGACCACTTATACTGGCTCGTGGTTTGAACTGTCTCTCGTCTCCTGTAGAAAAGCAGTAGATAACTAGATAAATTATGTCTTAGAAGTGTTTTTGTAGAACACAATTTAAGGGGCTTAACATCTGATTAGCACAGTGAGCAGAGGTGTGTTCAACTAGCTGAAACACAGCAGGCATCTGAATATTGTAATTTACTGGTCCACTGTCTTGTATAATTTTGTCATGGAGAAGGTACATCAAATATGTGGTTATGACAGTAGGATACGTTCTTTTTTGTTGCACAAAAATTTCTGTGCTTCCATTCCTTGTACAATATATTGAGTATGTTAAGATATGTGCTGCTATTTTAAACAATTCTGGCTGATGAATCTGCTGGGACTGTTATGTGAAAAATTTATTAGGGTTTATTGGGCTCATAATTTAGCTTCCAAATTGTTCCCTCTGACCCCTGATACATGACTTCAAAGTGACAACTCATATGTTTAAATGTTGGCATACTTTTGATAAACTGCAGTTTTCTGTGACCACATTATTCAGGATGAGTGTAGGAATCATAAGAACAACATCGTGAACAAATAAAGTGAATGAACAGAGGAATGAATAAATGTTCAAATAAATAAAAAATCTACAGTGCCTCTCATTATGTCTACATGCCCATTTCATGTGCTCTTGAAGGACAGCTACTTCTATGAATAAAAATTTAGGTACAGACTTAGCCAAAGAGAATAAACCAGTCAGGGGGAGCGGGGGGTGGGGGGGAGGGGGAAACTGTGAATGCTCTTTTGCTGTATCTGATTGGCTCCAATAGAAAAATCTGCTGATATTTTAATAGATTGATGGATATGGTAGATCTCTTGACTGAAACAAAAGTAAGATGAACTTTCCTCTGAAGATGGACTTGAGACCAAAGATCCTCAATCCTTAGCAGAAAAGGAGCCTAAATGCCCTGATGAACTAAATCTGCTTGTTTTGAGGTGAGTTTATGTAGTGGTTTAACCCCAGCCAGCTACCACGTAGCACTTGTTCACTTCTCCACCAGTGGGATAGGGGAGAGAATCAAAAGGATAAAAAAGAGAAAACTCATGGGTTGACATAAAAATAGTTTAATAGTTAAAGAAAAAGCCACACATGCAAGCAAAGCAAAACAAGAAATTCATTCACCCCTTCCCCTTGGCAGGTTGGTGTTCAGCCATCCCCAGGAAAACGGTCCATCACATGTGACAATGACTTGGGAAGACAAATACCATAATTTCAAATATCCCCTTCTTCCTCCCCCAGTTTAATATGCTGAGTATGATACCATATGGTATGGAGTATCCCTATGGTCAGTAGGGGTCAGCAGTCCTGGCTGTGTCCTCTCCCAACTCCTTGTGAACTCCCAGCCCCCTCGCTGTTAGTATGAGGAGCAGAAAAGGCCTTGATGCTGTACAAGTCCTGCTCAGCAATAACAATAACATCTCTATGTTATCAACTCTCTTTTCATTAAAAATCCAAATCACAGCCCCATACCAGCTACTGTGGAGAAAAGTAACTCTACGCGAGTCAAAACCAACAGTCTAGCAGATTTACATTTGTTCCTCAGGACCTGCATCATCTTGAGAAAGTGGGTGACTGAAACCAGCCAACTTGCCTGAAACCTGCTGACCTATAAAAAAAAAAAATTAAAAAAACACATTATCTTTTAATCTCAGACTTTCAAACTCTGTATTCAGTATTTATCAGGGAAAATGTTAGTTAAAAATTTTATAATTAAAATAGTTATTTAAACCAGCAATTGTTGCTATTATCTATATGACTATGGACCTTAGCTGGACCAGTCTGGACATTACTTTAGTTGCTGAACAGGGATGTTTAACAGCAAAGGGAAGGGAAGGGATTCTGCTGAGTATAGAGGGAGAATGGATGTAACATATGCTATTCTAAGTATCTGAAATTGTTATGCAGTGTATTTAAACATTAATTAACTGTATAAATACAGTTCAGTAAATAATGTATGCATAAAAGTAGAGTTTTACTGATTATTAGTTATAAATTGAAGTACCTGCATTTATGATAGTTTCAATATTATATATTGTATCACATACTAAACCCAGAAAGGAACCATCTAACCCTGCAACATCAAATTACTTTAATTACAATAAATAGAACCACAGTTACATATTATATAATTCTTTCAGGCACTCAAAAGCTCTATCCATCTGTACCTCTACACCATCACTAAAACAGGATGTTGAGGGGCATAAGTCATGATGCACTCCTCTGCAATGACCTCTTTTCCATGCTGGTTCTTCCTGCAATGGGAGGGTATGGGATAATGAAGTTGCTCCTTCTCACTGGGATCCTCTAAATATCAGATTAATTTCCATGGGAATGATTTTACTTCTCATAGCTTTCTGTCATGAGATATATACTTCTATAGTGTAATAAAATCTAGCCCTTGGTTAGAAAGAGAAGTTCAGAAGAAGGAAGATTCAAGTAGGTATCTCAGGTTATAGCTGCATCATGGACTATGGGAACCTTGCCCAGCCTTCTTGCTATGAGAGATTACCTCCAGGATTTCTGACTCCAGGCCAGGATGAGACCTGAGCACATATTCCCTGTCTTGGCACACCTTGATTTCTGCAGGGGCTGGCCAGGAGGGAGCAGTCAAGTTCCCTGCTGTGTACCCGACCTGAACCATCGGGGATCTCAATGGCACATCAGGATTATCTGACCTGAAGGCTGAATAAACATTTCTTTTCCAGCAAGGAATTTAGGTACAAGAATGCCTTCTCCCTATTCTGGAAAGCCTATAGGCATCAAATAGCTGAACTGGTTTTCTGTATAAACATCCCCAAACCTTTGTCAGCTGGCACAGTGTAAGGGACAGCCAGGAGTTAAAGGCAAGGAAGGTATTGTGCCATGCAGGGGGGAGGAACTAAGGAATGTTATCTGGTTCATAATAGAATATTTATAAAATGATTTTGATTGGTTTGATTATGAATTGTAAAAAGATGTGATTAAATGCTTGGGTCTCTTTGTTTTCCTGACTTAAACAATTTGTTTGCTTGTTTTTTAGTAGAAAATATGTGTTAAATAACCACCTATTTCTTTAGACAAAAAATCCACTTGTCAATACTTCATTATTTTAGGGAAAAGTTGAGAAAAAAAATCAAGCATGGTATTTAATAAACATACAAAATTTAATAATATCTTTTACAGAAAAACAAACCCAAACAACACTAATCACCTCTGCTAATATGTGATTCTTGGTGAGAAGATTAAGTTGAGGGTTTTTTTTTAAATACACATATTTATACTGATAATATTTGAGCACAGCTCATTTCATAAAAGCAAACATAGAAATCAATCATTACAATTCAGTCTCTCTCACCAAAACCCATGTCTGGAAAATTATAATCCACTGTAGGATAATTTTGCAGACAGTATATAATGTAAGGAATGTCATTATTTTTACAATAATTCTTTATAGAAAAAATGTGAAGACAAGTAATTCTGTCAGTACTTACTATGTACCTGTCAGATAAAAAAGTCAGATTCAGAAATATAAAAAAATGGCATATATACATAATTATTCATCTTGAAGATGCAACAGAAATGGTGCAGAGCAACTAGCTTATACTCTTCTGTAGTGGAAATTGATGAAAAGTACATTTAATGTGTATAGTTAGATTGATTTGCCATTTTAAATATCTTGACAGATTTTTTTAATTTTTGCAGTAAGTATATGAACTAAATGACAAGCTGATACAAAAAATAGTGCTTAAGGCAGGACCAAATAAACAATTCAGAGAGAAAATTTGTTTACAAAACATAACTGTTTTTTAATTCAGAATTATTTTGCTGTCTGTTCTTTCCTCCAGCAAAGAGGTATTGGGTATTGAATCTGAGTGTTGAATTGTGCTCTGTTTCTGTTGCTTTCACAATTATTTCTTAGTGCAAAGCCTTTGAAAGCACACACTTATCTTGCAGGGGATTAACAAAAGGCATAACAAAAGGGAAAAAGCAGCAATCTGTGTAGCCATTTCATTTTGCTGAGCAGAGCAGAATGGAGTTACTCCAAAATCCTATATAATTTTTGATGTGTATCACAAGAGTATATTAGTTACCATAACTAAAAAGAGGTAATGCTTTGGTATTGTGATGTTGTAACTGTCAGCTTTTACATAACACCCAGTTTGTTGAACATGCTGCTCCAAGTCATGAATTACTGGTGCTAAAAAATTAGCAAATTAATTTTTGGATATTAGCAAAGCAGAACACATATCAAAATGCTTTTTCCTTTCTCTCTTTTCTTTTTTTTTTTCCCTACCGAGGAAATGGCATAGCAGGATAATACTTTTATAGAACAGCACCTATTTTTAGTAAAGTGGTTTTCACTAGATATAATTTGGGCATTCAGAATAGAATATGTGAACCATTGCAAATTTAACTCCTCTGATTTAGGAAATAAAGCCCATGTTGTATGTGACTAAGGTGATTTTCTAACTTACGGTATGATCTTGATTTTGGTTGGGTTTTGGAAAGTCACAAACTCTAAGTGACTCCTGGATAAGTAAACAAACATTATATTCATTTGTGTGTCTTATACAGCAAGAACATACATAGATAAACCAATTGACCTGAATGAATACAGATTCACATAGCTTGTTTCATTAGGATAGACTGGCTCTAAATATCTATGTATGGAGGAGGCATCCCAGCAAAGCATAGATATTTTCATTTGGCATTGCGTTAGCGTTCTCTGTATTCCACATTTGTTTCTCCCATCCCCAAAAATAGTACAAAAGATAGTACAAAAGAAGTGATTTATGTTTGTCCATTGTAGGTTCGGCCTATTAACTTATCTGTTTATTTGCCTGTATATGCAGATTTTTCATATGAAGCCAGTGAAAGTAGTATCTAAGCAACAGACTGAACATTTCAGCTTTGTCCTGAGGACTCTATTCAGCATTTAGAATGGAGCATAAGTGTAGGCAAGTTGTAATGGCTATGAGGAGTTTAACCACTATGTCATCTTACCTGGGTTTGTGCTAAGGAGCTGTAAGCAGTGTGTTATTTAAATGGTTGCTATATCCTGCTTAAGGCAGCACTCTCACTGTTGTTACCACTAAAGAAATTACCCCAGAGATGCTAACCTAAAGAAATGTTAGGAGAAAGATAATACTAGAAGCAAAAAAACACAGGGAAAAAAAAATCGAAAAATCAATGCTATACTTTGTTATAGTCTCCACATCTGATTGCAGGCATATGTGGGATTTAGGAGGATTTACTTTTCAGATATTCAAAGCAGGCTAATAAGTTTTGAGAGCTTAGGATGTTCTTTGAATTTTTTTATATATTTCAAAGACCTGCTGTATTTTTTCACCTGTGTGTCAGTGTGTTTCTTGGAAGGCTTCTCAGAATTTCTGTTCACTCATGCCCATTCCCCAACAAAACCCAAGGCAGTGTGGTCCTCAGTACCATGGCAGAGTTGGTTCTCTCACCTAGAAGGGTTATGTATGAAAAATAATCACTTCTAGTAAGACATCTATTGTGAGAAAGTTGTTTGGAAGACCCAATTTGAATTTTTACCAGTTGTGATAAAAAATACAGGGAAAACTTTCTGTATGATGTCTTGAAAAGAACTACCAGCACTGATGTGTGAGATTAAGTTTTCTGTTGTTGAATTAAGTTGCCACTGGTTTTGAAGAGAAGAAAAAACCTGCAGCAATCAAGCAAGCAGCAATAAAAATTCCCCATTTGTAGATCTCATCTGTTAGAAAAGTCATGCTGATTGTATTGCAATTCTGATTGTGCTTCCACAATTTTTGCTACAAAATGTGGGGACATCAGATGTGAAATATTTTCAGTTTAGAGAAGGACTGGAATATCATATTCAAAACCTGTCCTTAGGCTAAAGCAAAAAAACCTGAAATTTTACAATATTAAAGGTGAGAGCATGAACTTGGGGGCTTAAAGCAAGAATTTCTTCTGCGAATAGTGGACTCTTCTGTTGGAAACGAAAGAGTAGTAGTAATACTTACTTTTCTATTAAATAACTCATTGCATGCCACCAGATAAGATGCCAACATATTATTGCTATGAAAACAAAATGGAAAATTTATGTATGAGAGGACTCTGAAAGACTTAATGTGATGTATCTGTCTGTATTAGCAAGCAACTATAATTGATGTCCTGGGAATTTTCATCTGATAAATCCCAAGTCACTACATGGCTCTGGGTGGTTCTTTGGACTCTGTTTTAGCCTTTAAGAAACAAATTTTTAATTTCTACATATACTGTGAAGTATTTTGTAGTAGTGTGATGACAAAGCAGTACAGACTTACACGTAAACTTTACAACATAGTTTTTCCAAAGTTTTCTGAAAGAAAAAGAATTACCAAAATTTTCATGGTCACAATGCTACCCTTGTGCATAGGATTACAAAAAATATATTTCCACAAAGCAGAGAGCACTTAAGGATAGTTAAGAGAAATAAGACTTGGAAATTTAATCTTGAATATCTTGGCAAAGGTCCATATTTTTGCTGTTCCTAAAAATGTCTTTGTATATATTGACAAAGTTGGATTGTAGCTATACTTTCCTGTAATAACTAATACTTTTACAGAAAAGGTTTGATTCAGAATTATTGCCCATCCTTGGCTGTTTGTACATTCCCAGATTAAAAATGAAAACTCTGTTATGGTTTCAGATATCCAAAAGTAAGCAAGTTACTAGTAATTCTCATTTCATTTGAAATACAGATGGTTATTGTTTTTGTCCTGTGCGCCCTCTGAGTTCCTGTTATTATTTTTCATCTATTTGAATAGGAAAAAAAATCACCTAAAAGAGATGTATTAAAACTGATGATCATAGCAGATATCCAGAGACTGTGGTCATTATTTTATGAATAAATCACTGCACTGATGCATAATGAAGGTTGATGCACCACAGCAAGAAAGTAGTAGTGAGGGATGCCCCAATAATCTAGAAAAATACTGTTTAAGATACCTGTCTAAAAACTGAAAAAGAAGTTATTCATGGGCAGAAGAAAAAAGGAAGAAAAATAAGGAAAAAATATGACAAAGAATTTGATTGGTACCAGGCAAGAAAATAGCAAGGAATGGGGAAAAAAAGGAAGAACAAAAAGGATGACTAAATTTTCTCACCTTTTTGTCTTTCTTTCTGTCAATTATTTGTCAACATAACATTATTTTAGGATTTAAAAAGAATTATTTTCCTTTTTTCCCCAATAACTTCCAGTTAAAATTCTTTTCTTTTTGGATGTTTGCTATTTTCTCTGCTAATTTTCTGCTTGCTTCCTAATGTCTTATTTATTCTCCTGTGCTGTTGACATATTTCTTTCCTTTTATTCTATTTCAATATTTTCTCCATTGTCTCTCTTCTCCATTTCTTTCCATTACTCCAATCTTTTTTTTTTTTTGGCTGTCCTCCATTGAAACTACTGCAGTATTTTTTTTTCATACTATTCTTGCCAGTAAAACACTATCCTTGACAAAGAGAAAAAACAGGCTGCTGCTCTGGAGGTAGCAGGAAAACTGGCATAATACCAGTGAAAATAATCCTGGCATGGGACAGACTAGACAACCTATAAACTTTTCCATATATTGAACTTCAAGGTTTTTCTGGAAGTAGTACTGGGAGAGATTCCAAAATACTAAAATCTGTCATGATGTTTTAATTGTGAAGGGCTTAAGGGACTATGGAGATACTCTATTCTAAACCACACAGTTCACATTCAGTGTTCATTTTGCATTTCATCTTGTTTTAAATTGAATAACAATAAGATGCTTACTTTAACTATTTCAACTCAACCCTTCACTTTTTCTAAGCAGATGAGAAGAGTTTCTGTGCCAAGGGCAGAGACAGATACTCTTAAGTAGGCTTTCCTCTGGAAAAGAGCAGTGTGAGTCCTGGATCAGCACTATAGTGCAGTGCACAGGGGTGAGCCTTCTGGCAGTACATGTAAGGTGGAGGAAGGGCAGAGCTGAAGATTAAGGCAGAGCCTAGAGAAGTTAATACCTTGAGGACTGTAGTATGTCCATATATTGTCTTTTCTTTCTTGCTTTCCTGTCAAGCTTAGCTGCATTTTCAAAACATTGACTTTGAGACTGTAGGCCTGTGTAGAGGGATCTGAGGGTTTTCTTCTTGCCTTTTTTTATGGAACCATGATTTGTTTAGTCTTCAAGAAAAAGTACTTATGTATGTTTGGGTGCAAACATTTACGTATTTCATTTATTGTTTCCAATATTTTGATATACACACTTCTGAAAGACTGCAGAGATATGCCATATTTAATAGAAAACAAAACATCCTCTCTTATCCGAGTGCATACTGTGTCAATCCCTCCGGAGACATCATTTATTAGTACAGGAGCCAGAAGAATACATGGTAGAAGCCAGCGCTGACACCGGCACATTAAACAGTCTTGTAAAAGTTCAACAAACCTTCAGAAACAATAATTTACATCTTAGTTTTCTTTCTCCTTGGTCAGCTATCCATTCATTATGTAACTGAAATACAAGACAGTCATGTGATTAAGAACTTTTATTAATAAGTATTCAAGACTAGAAACTGTGGAAAAAAACCCCCACAAACAACCAACAAACTAACAGCACTTGAAAAAGTGAAAGATTCATTCCAGATTTGGAGCTACTTTGCATTGTCATTTCTAACACATAGGACTGAGCCTTTTATTTTCATATCTTGGTGCAAGTCTTTGCCAGCCTGCTTCTATTTCCCAAAAAGCTTCTGCTTCACTACATTTCCATCTGTACAGAAAGGGCATGGACATAAACACTGATAAAGAGTGAATGAAATCTTCCCTACCTCCCAGCTAAGGCAGGATACTGGCAGGCTGTATTTTTCTTGTCAGAAAGTATTATGCTAGGGATTTAGTCTTTTATTATGATTTAAGAGGGATTTTCACCAGGAAGCTGGCAGCATCAAGCTTTTTTTGCTAGATGTGGTGGTGCTCTATGATATATAGTTGTGCGTGTCTTTTGACTGCTGTAACAACCTTCCTCAAAACAAAATACCATTAACTATAACTTTACCTTTTAATCACTGCAGTAGATTAAAATAGATTTTAGTCTTGCTTCTTTTTTTGCCTGAATTTTCCTCTGATTAAAACAAGATGGAAGATTGTCATACATGTGCCTGCATAAGGAAGGGAATGTAAGAGCTATACATTCCTCTGTGGACCAGGGAGATATCATCCGGCTGCGAGTACAAAACAGATTTCATGAGGATGTTGTTTCCCACGTTAAATAAGCAAGAAACACTTGGATGGTTAAGTTTTGGTGCAATCCTGACTTCTTTTTCCCTATACCGTTACTATACTGGTAATACCTGGTGTCCTGGTTAGAATGGCTGGGACCAATTCATCACTGGATGGGTGCAACCCAAAACTGTGTATTCTATAGCCGTCCATGCCATTTCCCAGAAACTGTTGTCAGTAGAGACCTGCAAGGTGGTAAGATGTTCCTATACCCTTTTATGGAATTCCCCGCTCTGATACCCTTTTATGGAGGAGGGACTGAGCATCCGCATGCCCTTTTATGGAATTCCCTACTCTGAGGGAGAGACTGAGCACTCCCACCTGAACTAGAGAGTATATAACTGGGAGTTTCAGAACCTTGCCACCTCTCGTGGGATCCAGAGGAATACTGCAGACCACTGCCTTCAACTAGACTGCAGACCACCACGTTCAACCAGACTGAGACCACCACCCTCGACTGGACTGCAATCACCACTTCTGACCAGACTGCAGCAGCTCTCCCACCAGCAGGTTTATCCCCTCTCCCTTTGCTTTGGACTCGGGGGTGGGCCAAGGTACACCACTTTTGTTCATACCCCAGGGTGCTGGGTTTGTACATTTGGGTTTTGTGGGTTAAAACCAATTGTCTGTCTGTATAATTGTACTTATTGCATTATTTTAATAAATTGTTATTCTGACTTATAAATCTCTCTTTTGAATTGAGTTCATTTTCCCTTGCTGGTTAACTTTTAAACCAGCACACCTGGTAAAAATTTATCTGAGCCTGTTGAACAATTAACACAGTTATCCCCCCATCCATTTACAGCAGAAATCAAGATTCCAAATTAGCCCAACTTTAGGACAACATAGGTATAAGGTGTGGTTAGGGATTTACTCTAGGTAATAACAATTTGTTTTAGAAATGAGTAGAAATAGATGAGTCACTGAAAAAAACCCACTTTGCATCTGTAGTTCCATTTTCTACACAAGGAAATTTTTCATATGAGAACATTTCAATGAGGTAGAAGTGTATCACATAATCAGAATTAAGCTGTTCCAAGTGATGAAAATACTAAGGAAAAAAAGGATTGGCCACTTTGTATGTTGAAATAAATACCATATTGTATTTAGCAAGCATTCCTGCAAACCATAGATAAATCTATTGTTGAAAAAAGGGCACACGCACATCCTAGAAAACTACAGTTCAATTACTTAGAACAGATAAATGTTTTTATATAAAAATTAATGTCATCATAACTAAGCTCACATAATTCTCATTAATATCAATAGGAAGTTGATTCCTAGAAAGCAGATAATGGAATGCTGACAGTTACAAGAAGCAGATTTGCAGCTGATTAATTAATAAAAAAGATTAAATTTGCTTTTATCCTCTGATCCTCTGCAACACACTTGCAAATGCATATACAGTCTGTGCCTTGCGTTCTCATAGGTCAATATTTATTCCTGAGTCTTGAACCCTCTTGTAATGTAGTATAATGGTAGAAACCAGGAAGAAGGGTAAATAATGTTTTCCTCCATTTAATTGTTTCCTTTTCACTTCCAGGCAGTTCATCAGAGCTGCTTGAGTCTGCAGGTGCTTTTCCTCATGTTCTCTGGAGTCATGTTCAGCCTCAAGGAGTCCCATGACAAGCAGTGGAGGCAGCTGTGTGAACACGTTAGGATGCACTGGGGGTGTCTGCAAGAATAGGAGGCAAAACTGAAGTTAATACAATGTTTGAGAAAATTATTTTCTTTGTAACTGTAATAAAGGAAAAACATACAGGGGAGCAGACTGCAATGAAGAATTGTATCCTCTAATGCTAGTTGCACAAATTAAAAAAACAAATACCTGGACTTCCACTCTGATTTGCAACAGAAATGAAACTGTGATTGGAAAGTGACAGTTATAGTGAAGGTTTTAAATTGTCTGAAAGACAGATGCCTGAACTTTTGCTGTTGTCTGCCATGACCTTATGATATAACATGAAAGAAAAGAATGTAAGCACTTTAGATATACTATTTTAGTGCTGTCCATTTTTCAAAACCATGGTGACTATAAATCCCTATACCAAAAATCAGTGTGGATCAAGCTATGCTTTGGATGTGATTTTAGCTATTAAGGGTATATGAATCTCATTTAAACAGAGCTCTGGCATGCAAACATTGCCTTAGTTTGTCTGAACATGATGTTCTTTTGCAGATGCTCAAAAGCAGAGTGCAAAAAAAGCACATTACAGCATGTCATGTGAAAGTGACAGTGTGGGCAATGGCACTTCATGAATTCCTGCAAGACTTCTGTCTTGTACTGGTGAACTGTCTGACCATTCAAGTCAAAGAACCAAAGAACTCAGAACTGATCAAAATGCTTCAAGAGATAAAGAAAGGAGAAAATTCCCCACTCCTTCCATGAAATTTTGCATGCCTCACTGTTTGGTGAAATACTAGGCAAAGAAATCCCCAAGAAAGACTATTAAAAGGTATCTGTGAAGGTTTTTGGCTCCTCAGACTTCCTGCGCATATGTCATGAAACATCAGTCTGTGCTAGGAAAAGAGAAACTTATTATTTTCTTCTGGGACAACAGTCCTTTCTTGGTTCCTCCTGCTGATGCAGATGCAAAAGGAGGTGGGGAGACAGAGGAAGGATTTGCCCCTCTTACACCAATTTATCCAACTTTTTAAGCAAGAAAAACAGCATTTTCACCTGTTGCTTCTAAAGAACATCTCCTGACACTTCCATAGAAAAGTGTGAGGTCCCTGAAACTTAAAAGAAGCAGAGAAGATAGTCAGGGGGGACAGGGAAGTGAAAGCAAACAAAGGTGCAGAATGGGAGAACAGGTCAGGCAGGAACCAGAGAAAATGCAGAAAGGATCTTGTGCATTATTTCATGCATCCTCCTGTTGCTTACCATCTTATACCATTCACTCATCATTTGATATATGAATGTGATATTTGAACTTGATTGAAAAATTGAAATTTACTTTATCTGTATGCTAAGAATGCATGCAGGATCTGCTTTTTGGGCAAAATATATTCAGTTCATATTATTATCTTTGAGTGTCATGTTTGGATTTTAATTGGTTTGCCCACTCTCTTTTGTGCAGTACAACATATGTACAATAATCAAACTTTTCATTTTTAAGTATTTATGGAAAACAGTATCCTAAACTGGGAAAAATGGGGAAAAAAAGATACTAAGAAATGGACAGAAAAATGAAAGATAAAAAGAAGGGATTTAATCAGTAAACTTGGAAGGCACATTTAATCTAAAATACAAATTTAATTGTCAGATATTAAGCCCCATGGCAAAATCTTATGATGCACACAAAGCAAAAGAAACCTTTTGCAGACTTCTGGAGTAGGGGCCCTCCTATTGGAACGACTGGGCCATGAGTGCTGGCAACTCATTAGACACTAATTAAATTCAGATTTTACTTTTTAAAAATCTTTTTCCTGTATTGTCTTAAAATATTTCAAGTGCAGGAAATTGTGGTGCAATTACAATATCTAAATACAGTGAAGACAGTTTTGCTTCCTAGTTCATCATAACATTAGTTTTTATAACAAGGAAGATGGGCCCATATATAGTATTTTTCTATCTGTTTTTCTAGATCTTCATTTAATGAGATCTGCTAAATAAGTTGGACTTAAAAGGGAAATTTTTCTGTTTATGCGTTAAACTTCCACTTTTAAGAAGAGCCTGGGATTGGCTTGGTATGCTTTTCCTCCTGTTGCGTGGTTTGGTTTTTTTTGTTGTTGTTGGGTTTTTTTGTTGCTGTTGTTTTGTTTTGTTTTGTTTTGTTTTGTTTTTGTTGTTGTAGTTGTTGTTTGGTTTTTTGTTTTGTTTTGGGGGGGTGTTTGTTTTTTTGTTTGTTTGTTTTTCCCAAATGGTATTGTAAAAGGAGATCAGGCAAACAGGGTCAGTTAGGATTTTGAAGGCAAATACCCCTGGAAGCACAGTACTTTATTTTCATTTAATAGCCCTTTGGATCTGTATATAATATCTCCACTGCTTAGTGACACGATGTTCTTCTAAACTGAGAGTATTCTGGACTGTGCCTAAATTAATCCTGACCCTATATTTGCAGTTTTGAAAGCCAGTCTAGTTTGGTTTTGTAGTTAGGCTCTCCCAGGTAACAGGAAGCTAGAGCTTTGGCTCCTTAGTTAGCAGCTGTGCACCCAGCTGAGTGTGTTTATCATAAATGAGGACAACTCCTCAAATTTCCATTCTTGGCAGGACCATGCTTGGCTTCAGTCTCTTTTTCTGGACATCATTGAAGATAAACATTAAAGGTAGTTTCAATGTTGCCTCATAAAGATTTGGTCAACATAACGTACCATAATGATATATGTTTAATCAGGCTATTTAGTGTTATCAAAGGATCTTTTAAAAAATGAATCATAGCATGTCATTTGAATATAAATGTAACCTAACTCAGACAACTCTCTGTATTATGAACCAATGCAGTATAGCAACTGAATATGAAATATTTGCCTAAAGCATGCAGGTGATAACAAAACGATGGGATATTGTTGACCCATGGAGAAAGCATTTTGCTGCTCATTTGAAGAAAAATATTACTTCTATTTTGATCTCATTAAAAAAAATGGGAAATGTGTTCTATGGCATTATTCACAAAAATGCATAGCATTTTATTGTCTCACACCCAATTTGGAATTTTTAAGTGAGATTTAAGGAGTACAAAGGTCCAGTACATCTCCTTAACATGGGAGGATTTCATTATTAATAGGTATAGATCAAATATAAACCTCTATTAAAAAACGTCATGAAAAAGGCAGCATTTAAAATTAGTTTAGGTCTCTAGTGTATATTTTTGTAGAGCTGGAGGTTTTTGTTTCAGATGATATGTTTACGTGTTCAAAAAATGATTCCTTTCCACTCTCCCTTCTTTAATACTCTAACAGGCAATCTTTCCCTCTGCACCTCCTAGCACTTTCACCGCTTTTTTGCATGATTCATTGAGCTTTTTGTCTCACATATTTCATCCAAGTGTAACAAATTCCCTCAAGCCAGCATTGGTCTAGAAAAGGCTGAGGATGAGAAAACAAGCTATTTCATATCAGGGTTAAAGACTTTAGATTATTGTTCTGCATTATAATAACAATGAATTTGTCTACTTAGATTTTTTTTTTAAATCAGAGTTCTAGTTGAGATAAACTCTGATTTGTCAGGCAAAATTGTATCAGGTAAATGAGAGTTCTGTGGCTGATTTCAGGGAAGCTAGGTTTTCACTCAATTTCTTTGCTTTTTAAGTTTCTAAGATACAAATCTCTGTTCTGTTGACCTAATTTGCTGCATTCTCCTTTTCTGTTTCTACATGGTTATTCTTACAGATCAGTGGAACACAAAGGTGCCTTCTTCCAAGATTTCCATTATATTGAAAGCAATCACTTTCTTCCCTAGAAATATGCCTCCCAATGATCAGGTAGTCTCAATCAGCTCTTTAGGGAGTATTATTACCCATCAATATGAAAATGTATTTGGTGCACTGCTGTATTAGGAATACATTTGGTCTAACACATAATTTATTACCTCTCCTCACCATTAAGCTCCTCTGGCCAGTGTCTGTTCTGATATATGTCCTGAGCCCATTATCATCACTGAACTAATAGAGATAACACTAAAAATAACCATAAGAAAACTAAACTGGGAAGCTTTCAAGAAGACAAAAGGTATTTTTTTTCTACCTCTTTTCAATTAGAAGTGTTTAAAGGTGTTGACGCTTTGCACATGACCATTAAAACATAGTGGTATGATCTCCTAGGTAAAACACTCTCAACCACAGATATTATGAATATAAATTTAACACTATCAACAAATTTACTTTTAATGCAGTAAAAATGCTTGGATGGCAGCCAGCCTCTCTACCTCATATAAAACCAGCCTCTATGATTAGCTATGTAGTAGAAATCTAATTATATGTTACAACAGAATGCCTAAAAGATGAATAAACTGGCTGAGAACATACTCCTTCCACACATGCAAAATTTGGCCACACTCATTGCTTGTTTAACATTACTGATGAAGGTGTGCTTTTTCTCCCAGAGATAAGCATGGTCCCATGGGCCAAATTCTCCTCTGTTTTACATGCAGTGCAGACCCTCTGGGTTAAATAGTTAGAATACGCCCCATTGTCATATTGTGCCTTAGCAAAATTATCTTTTTCTATCATACATCTTAAAAACATCACTTTGGAAAGGTGACAGTGCTCTTGTGCGTGCCAGCAAAACCTGTCATCAGCTTGGCAGATGGAAATTAAACCAAGAAAAGCATGTAAGTATTCATGTAGGTCACAATCTGAAAAAATAATCCATAAAATTGTACTGAAGCTTTATTCTGCTTCCTTCGCCAATTCAGTTACTGCAAACAGCAGTAATTTGTTGCACAACACTAAAACACGTGAGAACTAAAGTTGGTTTTAGGTTCATGTAGGCAACTGCACATTTTAAACAGCCTTTGAACTACTCTAAATTATGCTACCCTTGAAGAACTGTGTACCACATTCTTGCAAGTACAGATGGGAGCAGTGAAGAATTGTCCAATAGATTCTCCCGCATAGAGTTGCCACAGTTGATGCTACAGTAACTCTAGTTACCCAAGTGGTGCAAACCTCCCACAGCAAAACTGGAGGCCTTACTTGATAATTTTTCATTATAAAAATCTCTGATATAAAATTA